TTCCCTCTATTGTAATAGGTTTTGGTGCCTTTTTCCTGTAATGTAATTTACCCTTTTCTGTCTCCTCTTTTCCTTTTCTCTCAGTACATTTTCTTAGTTAGATCAGATTAATCCACTTACTTGGATCCATTTAACCCACTTGATTAGATTTTTTTATCATTACATCAAAGTCAATTTTTACCCACCCCCTTTATGTATGCCCATTTAACATGGGGTAATAACAATACAGTTCTCAAGAGTAACAAGTGAATTCTTCCCTTGTAGGGATGTATACAGCTTGCCCTTATTAATTACATGTTTCTTTCTTTCCCATTTACCTTTTTATGTCTCTCTTGAATCCTGTATTTGAAGATCAAATTTTCTGTTAAGCTCTGATCTTTTTATCAGGAAGTTTTGGAAGTCCCCTATTTCTTTTTCATATCCATCTCCTTCCCTGAAAGATCATGCTCATTTTTGCTGGGTAGTTGATCTTTGGTACAATGATATATCTCCTATGTATATGGTGCTATTGTAACTCAGACCAAATGAAACAATGTACATGAAATAATTTTTCAATAGTATTATCTCTTTTTCTTTCTTTCTGCCTCATTGTGTTCTATCATCTTCATTTGCAAAGGTCCTATATTTTTTTCATTATTCTTACCATTGAATAGTAATCATGATAACTGATGTTACATAGTACTTTAAGGTTTGTGAATCATTTTTCATTCATTTTCTCATTGGAGTTTTATAACACCCTCCTTTGGAAGGCATCTCTGATATTTATCCTTATTTTGTAGACGGGGACACTGAGATTCATAGAGGCAAAGTAAGAGACTCACCAATGTTCCCATAACTAGTTAAATACAGAGGAGAGCTTCAAATTCTGATTTCTCCAAACTCCAAAACCAGGCATCTAGCTATTATTTCATGCTTATTCCTTTATTGTTGTTTTAATATACACAAGCCAATGATATTTTAAATTTCCTTACGTGAGTCAGTCAATCAACAAATATTAAGCACTTGTTATGTGCCAGGCACTCTGTGCTAAGTGCTGGGACTGCACAGAAAGGCAAAAATACTACTTGTTCAGATACTAACAGGGGAGGTAACATGCAAACACTTATGTACAAATATGATATACAGAGGGTGAGTTGGAGGTCATCTTAGAAAGAGATGACCTCTTTTTCTCTGTGTCTGTCTCTGTCTGTCTCTATCTCTGTGTCCATCTCTGTCTGTCTGTCTTTGTCTCTATTCATACATGTTGTGTCTTTAGCATAGGGAGTTCATGATGAAGCATTTCCTTTACCAAGGAAGATCAATCCATCTTCAAATAATCTTAGAGAGTGAGAGTGCTTGGGACAAAAAAAGATAAGTGACTTATGCAGAGTCTACACAGAGGAAGGACCAAATTTAGGACTCTTTTATTGGAATTGATTATCCACATCCTCATCTCCTACAAATGATGGAAATTTGAACTACATTTCCAGGTCTCTAGGTTCTGTTACATGAGCTTTTGCCTTATTTCTTTAGGGCCCAGACCATTCTAACAACTTCCAGGTCATTTTGACAGTATGACCCTTTGTGAGTACCTTACCCCTCTGTTTTCACCACCATTCTTTTGTGTGTTTTCTCCATTATAAGCTCCTTGAGAAAAGGGACTGTCTTGCTTGTATTTGTATTCCTCAAAGCTTAATATAATGTCTGGCACACAGCAGGTTCTTAATAAATGTTATATCTACCTCTCTCCCTCTCTCCCTCTCTCCCTCTCTCTCTCTCTCTCTCTCTCTCTCTCTCTCTGTATATATGTATATATATATATATCTGTACATCTGTCTATATACCATCTATTATTATTGTTAATTATTCCAAATTTCTGTCTTTTTATCACCAGCACCTAGTCCAGAGCCTGATGCATGGGAGGTTCTTAAGATATTCCAGTTGATTGATAAGGTGACAATATCCTAAGTTCCTCAGCACCATGCTCAAAATCACTCTTTTCCACTAATCCCAACCCAGAATTTTTATTCATGGATTTAGAACTCTAAGTCCATCAGAGGTCAACTAGTCTCACTTATTCCCTCATTCTGAAGATAACAAATTAATCTCTGTCTGTCTCTCTCTCTTTGTAGGAGGGAGGTCTGAATCTTTCAAAATATACCTTTGAAAGAAATAATAGAATTGGATTTCAAAGAATAGTTTAGGTACTAATATCCTACTTTGAGATTTCATGAGATGTGATCACTGCATTTCTCTTCTTAAAATATTTGTGAGTCCTTTCAATTTCTTTACAATGAGGAATTACTTTCAGTAAGGTCTTGTGTCAGATTTTGTAAATGTTCATTCCAAACTGGTTGGAGTAATGGAAATAAAGCACTGGAAAAGTAGTCCAGAGCATTGGGTTCTAATCTCTACTCAGTCTAACCTTCTGTGTGATCTTGGATAAGTACTTCCCCTGTTTAATAAACTCTTTGCAAATTAAATTGCTAAATTAATGAGCTCAAGTTTCCTTGAGCTCTGACATTCTGTAGTTCTGTGAATACTTTTTCTTTTGGCATTGAGAGACTGTGTGATATAATGGTAAAAAATAAATAAACAAACAAATAAATAAATAAATAAATAAATAAATAAATAAATAAATAAATAAAGCCTGAACTTAAAGTTAAGAAGACCTGAATTTAAGTCCTATCTTTGACACACACAGGGACCGTGATTCAGAGCAAAGCAATGTTCTAGGAAACTCTCAAAGACTAAAAGTGGAAGAGAAGACAGCAGACTGTGTTGGTAGAGGCAGTTGTTTTTACCCACCAGTTTCCTATATTAATAAAAAAATCCCTTAAATATTAACACTTTTGCCTCAAACAGATGATGATTCAGGGCCAGTAATATGTTTGACATTCTGATGTTACAGTAAGTTTGTGTATTACTGTGCCCTTTAATATATCTTTGTTTCATACGAAAATTGAGCTCATGAAGGAAGTGGCTATACAGCATTATGGACAAATGATCAGTACATTTTTACTAACAATTTTAGAAAGCATATTTGATAAATGGCAAAATTGTCACTTAATTTTGGGTCATAATCATAAAAGTTTTCAAGCCTTCAAGAAGTCAATCTTCTTTCAATGTTGGAAAGGGAGGATTTCCTTGACTTAGAAAGTTGAGATGGTCCTAAACAGTTATTACATGGAGTTGACTAATGGACTGGAAAGATTTTCATTAAACCGAGATAAAGGTTGGCAGATTTTTAGAAAGATTCCATCCTTTCTCCCAGTGGTTTTTGTCTAATGGTCAATTACCTATTTTGTTAATATATTTTTCTTGAATTAAATGTGCCCTCTTTATATATTTAAGCCCATTCCCACTACTTTTTGGTTTACAGGAAAAATAAAAAAAAATTGTGCCTTCTTTAAAACAATCATTTGCTAGACGATAGTTTGAATAGAACTCTATCTACATGATGTCAGGGCAGGTCATTGAAATCTGAACACATCATGTATAATGGGGTCCATCATGCAATAGTTTCATCTTATCCCTAATTAATATAATGTCAGACACTGAGCACAATGAGCACCAAGCAAAAACAGAGAGCAAGGAAAACTATTCAACCTGAGCCAAAATGACATAAGAAAATTCTTGGGGTCAAATTTAATTTGGTAATTTAGATCACATTTGCAATATACTTCAGAATGAATGTTGATAAATTATAATTTAAATACTCTTTTCTGTTTTGTACATTGATTAGAGATAATGTAAATTTCTGCCACTCCAAGGGACCATTGTCATGAAGAGTGATAAATGCTTTAAAAGCACCTGTCCAGTTATGGTGAAATGAGAAAAACTGAACAAAAAGACTGTTCCCACCTGGGTAGAGATGAAAATAGGAATACTTTAGTAGAATTCTATGTTGAAATTACATTTTATCTATTTATTCAATGGAGAAGAGGAGATGAAACAATATTGATGAAGAAACTGAGTGTTTAAATGATACTGGAGATCATGATAGCAGTCAGAGTTTAAGTGACTTGCCCGAGTCATATGTGTAAGTGTATCATGCTAGATTTGAACTTAAGTATTACTAACTCTATGTCCAAAACTGTATGCACTGTGCCACCTAATTACTTAACATATTCCTTTGTTTGACTCTTGGATTCTGTTTCTGATCCTGATTCTGACCCAGTTTCCAATACAGAAGCACACTACTTTCCACCACTTTCCAGTCATGCACCACCACTATTTATGTCCTGGATATCAATTTTGTTTCTGGCTTGTAAATAGTTCAGATAATTCCCTAGTATGGTCATCCCTCACACCACAGACAGATAAATGAATTATAGATTTGAAAGTTACTTGTTCTCACCTCATGGCTGGGACAGTAGGGGGAACTTTGAACAAAAACACTCAAGGTACTATAAAATGTCAAATGAAAAATAGCATGATTTCCCTGAAGGAAGACTGATTTTGTGTGTGTGTGTGTGTGTGTGTGTGTGTGTGTGTGTGTGTGTGATTTTATTCTGCAGGGTGAATGAATTCATTGAGAGGATATCTCACTAACCAAATCATGTTTCTCTAATTTTTCTCTGTGGTGTAATACAGTTAGATCACTTTGCAAAATTTGATTTTGGAATATCAAAGTATTTTCAATTTGCTTCATTTTAATTTGAATATTTCTTTTTTTTTCTTTAGTGAGCCAAACAATCATTGGATTGTTTGCCAATTGGCAATTAGCAATTGGCAATTGGCAATTGGATTGAATTGCTAATTCATTGGATTTTGTGGGCATATACTAACAAAAGAAAATCTGACCACCTACTCATATGGCATCAAGCAACCATTCATCAGTGGTTGTGTTCACCTTACAAAGTTTCTCTGCAAAGCCTAAGATTCAAATCTTCCTCTTCAGTCTCTTCTTAGGACTTTTCAGAGTGGCTTTCACACGTAACTTTCTCATTGTCATTGTGATCAGCCTAAATTCAGGCCTCCATACCCCCATGTAATTTTTCCTTATAAACTTTTCCTTGATGGATGTTCTGTCTGCCTCCACTGGGGTGCCCAAGTTGCTGCAGAACCTAATGACCAAGAACACCATTTCCTATGGTGGCTGCATAGCTCAGATCTATTTCCTAAGTTGTTGTTTGGAGGCAGAGCTCTTGCTTTTCACAGCCAAGCCTATGATTGGTATGCAGTCATCTGCCAGCCCCTCCATTATAGCACTATTATGAGCAAGGCAGCTTGCTACCTCCTAGCATCTGCAGTGTGGGCTATCAGTGGGACCAATGCAACAATAAACTGTTCATTAGGACTGTTCACTTGTCTTTCTGTGGACCCAACGTCATTGATCATTTCTTTTGTGAGATTACTCCACTATTGCCTCTCTCCCGCTCCTCAGCTTATGTCAACAATGTAATGGTAATTATGGCAGACATGCTCTGTGCTGTTTTCAATTTTTTGCTAATTCTGGTGTCCTATGGTTTCATCATCTCCAGCATCTTGAAGATCCGGACTAAGGAAGGGAAGAAGAGAGCATTTTCCACTTGTTCCTCCCACCTTATTGTGATCGCAATGTATTGTTGCCCTGTAATTTATACCTACATTGTTCCTGCTTTGGGTCAGAATCTGAAGGAAGGCAAAGAAGCCTCAGTCTTTTATACTATAGCTACCCCAGCTTTGAACCCTCTGATCTACTCCCTGAGAAACAAGGATGTGAAAATTGCCCTCAAGACATTATGTACATTCTTAGGAAATAATTGGCCATTCGGAAGACTGATAGAGCTCAGAACAATGGTATTATGAGTATCTCTGAGAATGAAAAGTGTACATAGATCACAGCTTCTCATATCATTTCTTCTAGTAGGCAATGCTCCTGAACTCAGGATATGTTCTTAGGTGAACTAGCTAACTCCATGATTACATTTTTTGAAGACTTTTAATGAAAGAAAAGTCAGAAAGTCTCCAAAGAATAGCAGAGAAACAATCAAAGTGCCACACCGTTTCAGTTCCATTGTTTAGGAAGAATAGGATTTTGTTGCCAAGTCATATGCTAAGAGATAATTTATTTGAAGGTATGGTTGCCTGTTCTCTCCAATGTCAAATAATTATATGAGATATATTGGAGTTTTTATTATGAACCTGATAGACTTCAGGTACAGTGGAAAAGACCTCAGTTAGGTCTCTTACAGCACAAGGGGACTTCCTTTGATTTAACTGATGAGTAAAGAAAATGCCTCTCCTTGCTGTCTCTCTTCATGCAAAAGAAAGGGTTTCAACTAAGGCTGCTATTTTTAGAGAACTTTGGTGACTGTGGCCATGGAAAAAACATAAAGTAAAAGTAGCATTATGGAAAAGTCCTCAACTTGATTCCATCTACAGAGTAAGGGAGATCTAGTACTCAACTCCTGAGGCCTCAACAACAAAAATGAATGATCAAACAGAAAAAAAAAAAGTTTTATTATGCCAGAAATGATCAAAGCACCAACCCAGAAGATGAAAATAACCCCCAAAATTTACCTATAACCAGAACCTCAAAGAAAAATACTATTCCCACACAATAACTAGGATTTTTCATAAAAAACACATTTTTTAAAATTATATAAGAAATGAAAACTATGTAAGGGAAATTAATAAGCATTTGTGTGGTGGCTACTATATGCCGGGCATCATGCTAAGCACTTTTTCTAAATATTATCTCATTTGACTCTCTTAACAACCTGAAATATAGGTGCTATGATCATCCATGTTTTTCAGTTGAGGAAATTATATAAGAAATGAAAATTATGTAAAGAATAGGAATAAGCATTTATGTGATGGTTACTATGTACCAGGCACCTTGCTAAGTTTTTTTTCCAAATATCATCTCATTTTATATTCTCCAAAACCTGAAATATAGGTTCTATGGTTATCCATGTTTTGCAGTTGAGGAAACAGAGACAAATAGAGCTAGTAAATGTTTGAGGCCAAATTTCAACTTAAGGCTTTCTGATTCAAGACCTAGTCCTCTAGGAGGAGAAAATTGGAAATAAAGCCCCAGAGTCTAACAGAAGACTGTTGTGACAGAAGAAGGGTTATAAAACCCTACTGTAGTCAAAAAACACTAAAAATAATAATGGACCAAATTATTGATTTTAAAAGTCAACAAGAATTCTTAAAATAAAGTCAAAAGAATGGAATCTAAGAAACTGTAAGATATTTGATATAAAAAATAACTGACCTACAAAATAGATTAAGGTGAGATAACTGAAGACTTATTATATAACAATCCCCAATAAGTAGTTGATGGGTCACAAATCCCCCTGGGATTTATAGTTTTTCACAAAGAAAAATAAGCGCAGATCAGCCATCAATTGTGGATGAGGGTAGAGATATTTTTTTCACTCACTATGACAATGTGAGTTTTGGGATTCTCAAAAATGTGGTCCTTATTTTATGAATCTTCCTCATGTTCCTTGAGCCAAGCTACAACAGGATGACTTGAATTTCATAACCACAAAGAATAAAGGAACTTGGATATCATTTCTAAAGAAATCATTAAAAAAAATCCAGACATATAATAATAAGAGAGAAAACTGAAAATAGAAAGCATACACTGATGACTTCCTAAAAGAAATTCCAAAATAAAAACTACTTGATGTGTTATTGGCAGTACTTAGAGCTTTCAGAAAAAAAGAAAAATATATATAAGCAGTCTGAAAGAAAGAATTAAAATATAGAAGAACCACAGTCAAGATTTAACAAGATTTGGCAGATATCACTTCAAAGAAAGAGAGAACATGGAGTGAAACATTCTATGAGGCAAAATACAAAAGTCCATATCCAAGAATATCTTACCTGGTAAAAATACAGTATTATATCCTATGAATAAAAATGGACTTTGAATGAAATAGATTTTCAAATATTCTTGATAAAAACTGAATTGAAAAAAGAGCTTTGAAATAAACACATAGAACTATTTATATTCTAATGGAGATAGAAGAGAATATTAAAAGATTTCTTTTGGAACCCTATTATCACAGGGATCATTGAGGATGTCAACTGAAAAAAGACTGATAAATAGTTTTGTTTTGAAAATGTAAGAGAAGAGACCATTGGAGAATATACATTAAAGGTAGATGGGAGAAAAGTGGCAGTTTTGTGAAGACATAATAAACTTTTATAAGTAGGTATATATCCAAACGCAGATAAAGTGAAGAAAGTGAATGTCCCTTGAATTTGGGTTTAATCTAAACTGGTGAAATGCGGGCAGAATACACAGAGAGTTTGGTGTATGAATATATTCAAGTGAACAGGGAAAAAACAAGGAAAACATATAGGGAAAGGGGAAATATAAGTCTGAAGGTATATTCAGGAGGCTATTTGTGTTTTTAAATATAATGAATCTTATGCTTGGAGAGGGGATAGTAAGGAAAAGGTTAAAAGATTGGAAAGAACAATAACTTTAAATTAACAGAAAGAAAAGAATGTAGAAGAGGAAAACTACAAGAGAATAAAAAGGAATGGAATAAACAATTATCATACTGTTAGTGTTCTTGGGATGAACTCATCTACAAGTAATTAGAAGAATTTCAAACTATCAAAAATTGTTTTGTAGAGATAGAAAATAATAATAAAAAGATTCATTTGGAATAACAAAAGGTTCAAAATATCAAAGGAACTAATGAAAACAAATGCAGGGAAAGTTGACCCACCATTCCAAAATTATTCATAGTAGTTCTTTTTATGGTGGTAAAGAACTGGAAATTGAGGGAATGCCCATCAATTGGGGAATGGCTGAACAAGTCCTGGTATATGAATGTAATTGAATACTATTGTGCTATAGACATGATGAGCAGGCAGTCTTCAGAAAAACCTGGAAAGACTTGTATGGACTGATGCTGAGTGAAGTGAGCAGAACCAGGAGAAGTTTGTACACAGAAACAGCCATGTTGTGTGATGACTAATTTGATAGACTTAGGCCTTCTCAGCAATGCAAGGATCTGAGACATCTCCAAAGGTCTCATGATGGAAAGTGCTATCCACATCCAAAGAAAGAACTATGGAGTTTGAATGTAGATTGAAGCATACTATTTACTATTTTTTTTCTTCTTTTGTGTTTTGTTTCCTCTTTCTGCTGGTTCCACTTATTGGTTCTAATTCTTTCTTGCAACATCACTAATGTGAAAATATGTTTAATAGGAATGTATATGTATAGCTTATATGAGATTGCATGCCATCTTGGGGAGGAAGGGGGGAGAAGATGAGGAAAAAAATTTAAAACTTAAATGCTTATTTAAGTGATTGTTCATAAAGTAAAATAAATTAATAAAAAAGCACTTTATTCCATGTGTAAATACCATGTAATCTTTTAGTTAGTATTTTATTTAGGACTTTTGCATCCATATTCATTAAGGAAATTGGTGTGTAATTATCTTTTTCTGTTTTTTTTGCTTCCTTGTTCAGGTATCAATATCATATTTGTTTCACAAGGGTTTTGGTAGGATACCTTCTTTACCAAATATTCCAAATAATTTATTTAATATTGGAATTAGTAAATCTTTAAAAGTTTGATAGTATTCACTTGTAAATGCATCTGGTCCTGGTCTTTTTTCCTTATAAAGTACATTTATGGCTTTTTCAATTTCTCTTTTTTAAAATAGGTCTGTTTAGATATTTTATTTCCTCTTCTGCTAATCTAGGCCATTTATATTTTTGTAAATATTTTTCCATTTCACTTAAATTTTTACATTTATTGGCATATAATAGGGCAAAAGAAGTCCTTATAATTTTTTTAATTTCATCTTTCTTATTAGTATATTCATGCTTTTCATTTTTGATACTAGTTATTCATTTTTCTTCTCTCTTCTTAAAATACATCTATATTTAGATATTGTTTTACTTTTTTTTGAAAACACATAACAAAAGTTAACCAGTAAAGTATAATACTAAGGTTGAGAAACTTGAGTCTTTAATGAAATAGGAGACTGATACACATTCCTAATGTAAAGAACAGCTATGGAAAAACTTTGAAGTTCAAATATAGGAGTTAAAATGTCATTTAAAGATAAACATAAGGGATGAAAGAAGGATAAATTACTTAAATTCAAATATGGGGGAATAATACATGTATTTCTTCTGTACCTTATCATCATCAGTGCTCATAGAGGGAGTTTAGACTAAAAGCTTGAGAGTGATTCTGTTATGTGTTAATGATCTTAAAAAGAATGGAAAGAGAAGGGGAAAGTAACACCTAGGAGAGGCTGGAGAGGGCAAGAAAGGTAAAAGAAAAGGATCTTGCACAATCAGGGTGCACAAGGACCCATCTATTCAAACAAGAAGGATGGGAAGGAAGAACACATGATGTTTTAAACTGACTCTCATCTGAACTGGTCACAGTAGAAAGACATACACACACACACACACACACACACACACACACATAGACACACACACACACACAC